GCCATGTTTAAGAAATTCTTACTACATACTTATAGGCGCCATCTCAGGAATACAAACACTTCTCCTTGAGAGCTCTTGGAGGGCAGGTGAGGCACCAGAAGACAGGGAAAAAATGTAAACATGGTGCCTCTCTCTAAATATAGAGGGAGAAAAGAGGAGTAAGAATTATAGACCAGTCAACTTCTAGAAGCTTTCAAGAGAATTGAACTATCAATCATGTAATTTGCAACCACCTAGGAGATAAAAAGGGAGATGAGTGACATATAGCATGGATTATACAAAATTAGACATGTTAAACTAGTCTCATTTGATTTCTCAGCAGAAGTAGGAGTGCAGTAGTTGGTGCCATACCTAGATTTTGGGAAGGGTTTGTCAGAGTCCCACTGGATTTTTAAAAAGTGACATGGAAAAAGTGCAGATAAACCTGCTACAAATGGGTGAGTAGCACAACTCATTCCCAAAGTATACAGTTATCAGTGGCTCGTGGTCAGAGCAGAGGACTCTGTCAGCCAGCAATCCACTGAGGTCTGTGTCAATTTCCTTCTAAATTTTCATCAGTGAAGAATGGATGGAAATACATCCTTACTTACCCCTGGCAGTGACATGGAGCTGGGAGAGATGTGCTTCAGCACATCAGAGGATAAACTTTACAGCATCAAATGATCTTGGCAGACTGGAGACATGAGGACTGGGTCTAGTCTGGGGCACTGTGCCTCAGAAAAGAGGAGGAGGACCTGCTTGAGAAGGTGTAGGGAAGTGTCAGTGTGTTGACTAAAGCTGGCTCAGGTTGGAAGGGCTGGAAGGAAAGCACCAGAACAGCTTGGCTGGAACTGATGTATGGGAATGACAATGACTGTAGCCTCTGCTCCAGGAAGTTTTCAGGATGATGGACAAGCATTTCCCTCAGGAGTGACCTGGGCAAAGTGGCTCCTTGGTCGAATCAGCCCCCAGCTGAGCTCCAGCCCCAGTGCACCCCCTGCCATGGGCTGTGTTCAGAGCTGCTGTTCCCCAGGCGCAGGGGCCGTGTGTGTCAGCAGGTACAGGGGAGAGCCATCTCTGGCTTTGCTTTCTTGGTGCAGTCCTTGGGTAGTGAAAGGCTGAAGGCACGTAAGTGCTTTGTTGAACTGAAGCCAAAGCAAGCTGCTACGCAGAATGCACCCCCTGTTTCCAAGTATTTCATTTATTTTGTAATTAAGCAATAATTGCTGAGGCACTGGGCACTTCTTCAGGATTAATGACTTGCTGGGGGATGGCAGAATATCTGATCAGCACTGCAACCATTGTCTCCAGTAAATACCTGTTTGTTCCTGCCATTCTGAAATGAGTACAACAACACAACCTGCCAACATATGGGTTTTGCTGTTAGCAGCTGAGGGATGGGGAGCAGGCATTAATGGGTACCTTAGGCAATCAGGTTGCTTCAGTTGTCTCTCACCATTCCATTCACAGCACAGTGTTTTATTAGTCACTTGGTGAATGAAATGGCTTTTTAATTGCTCAGAATCACTTTTTAAAATTACAGCACTTTCTCCCCCCTCTACAGCCCCTGGGAATCCTCTTAAATCCCTTCTCTTCCTTTGCCCTGGAGAGAACCAGTTCTAGTGTGGCAAAGAGGAACCTGCCTGCAGCAGTTTCCTTTGTAATTCAGGCACTGGGATATGCCATTTAGAAAACAGAGGATTCATATTTTTGGTGCTGAAAACCCTCTGCTCCCATAATTTGCAGGTTGATTAAGGAGTAACCTACCCTGTCTAAACCTGCAGACTTTACAGTGTAGGCGTGCTGCTCACTTCTGTTAGCTCCTACACCTGTTTTTTTTTTAATGGTCAAGCCCACTACAGCACACAGACCCCAGTGCTTCTTGTGTCCTGTGGCACCAGGAGCTGGCTCAAGCTATGTCCTGTAGCAAGATACCTCCCAGGAGTAGTGTTGGAGCTTTAAATGTCCTCTAGACAGTAAAGTACAACAGCAGCTGAGAACAAAGGTGTATCCCAAACAGGTGAGTGGCAGCATGAACATTTCCAAAAGGCTGTGGAAAAAGCTGCTGCGGGATTGGAGCCATCACATCACCACGGCAAGCAAATGGAGAAACACTTGTGAAAAGCATATAGGACAATAAACCAGTTCACAGTGTCCTAGCAGACTTTGGAACAAGAGTCAGGGGGGATTTGCTCGCTCAAATATTAGGTAATGTGCTCACTGCATGATTGATTAATCCATAGGTACTTCCCACAGCAAAACTTCCATACTGGCACCCACAGTGCTGCTTTCTCCATGGCTGCCTTCTAGAGAGATTTCACACAGGAAAAATCAGGGTGTTTTTTCTCTGCCCCTTTTAAACTACCAGTTTTACTTCTGTGTTTGAATGATGGCAGCCTTGTTACCCAGCCACAATGTGTGCACTGAGGGATCCCAGAGCCACTCTCCATCCCTTAATTCTGCCTCTTCAGCACAAGGATCCCTGTTACTCAATAGGGAACTTACTGGCTTGGAGTATTTAGAAGTGAAGCATCAGTAATCATCTTCGTGGCACAAAGTTAAAAATTGTTTAAACTCTGAGGAAGACCAGAAACCAAAGCTCACTTCTTTCCCCATACAGCTGTCCAGCCCTCTTTTCACCTTCTGAATTCCTGAGCTGAAGCATGTCAGTAAAAGCCAGAAACAAATCCAGTCCAAGCTGTGGGCATCACTCCCATCTCCTCCATCCTGACCAACAGCTGGACCAAACAAATTTCAGCAGCATCCTCTTGAGACCATTGCACTGCCCCATTGTTCCTGTCCTCACCCTTTCTTTCTCCCCCGTTATGTTTCCTTCTCTTAGTTACTCAAAACCCAGCATTTAATCTTGCTTGCCCCAAAATCCAGCCACAATCAAACCATCCAGAAAAAATGAATTATTCCTAGTGATGCTTTTATGAACTGCCTGCCTGCCTCCAGTGGCACCCCTGCTCTGCTGTGCTTCGTGCTCAGAGCTGGGAGGAAGAGCTGCTGTACATTCTCTCTTGAATTCAAACAGAATTGATGCTGATCCTTTTGCCTTGTGCCACCCATAACTCTTGGTGTTGACTGCTCCTTTTGGCAAAGAACACATTTCCCAGAAGTTCAGCAACTTGTCTGAGTAACAGTAAATGATCCATGAGAACCAGTGCTGATACCTGGCTCTGCTGCCCCACCTCCTTCCCATCACTCAAATGCTATTGTTCCAAACCTCACCACCATCACTGGATTCACAGGAAATAAAAGCTACAGAGTACAAGATCTGCTGTTGCCCATAACTCCATTAAACTCAAATCAAGCTATTGAAATTTTTTGGGCAAATTGTCCAGTCTGGATTTAGTAAGTCAGAAAGATTTTCATCCACCCCTGTTCTCCTCAGCTTGGGTGAGGGGAACCAGCAGCCCCCTGTGCTGTTTCCAGCACACCAGCACCATTTACCTTTGCTGGAGGGTACCCAAACAGAGGGCTCTGCCCAGTTCCTCAGGTCAGTAACTTAAAAATGTCCTGATCACCAGGATTCAAATCAATTGATTTGAATTATTGTCTGTCTGAGGCTGTCTTTGCTTGTAGTCATGTTTTTCCAGGACTCAGGGGTTGTTGAGCAGCTCCTCCCAGGAGCTCAGTGTTCAGTGTTGAGTAAGCAAAGGTTGAGGTGGGGACAGCAGAGTCAGTCACTTGTGTTAGAAAACCTTTCTGTGAGCTTCACATCAGGGGAAGGAGATCTCTGTTTTGGTCAGCATGTTTCTACCAGCCTTGTTCTTGGTGTAGTCATCTGTTAATAACACTGGGCTGGCATCCAGCCCCATTCTCCATCCCAGCACTGTATCTATTGCAAGCTCACAGTGTGAGCTAGTGCTCCCTCTGTCCCAGGGGATGCCAGCATTTGTCGGGACCTTTGATGTTGTGTATCTGATTTAGAAAAAAAGGAATCAAAAATCCTGTTACAGAAAGGGTGCTAGGTTTTATCAGAGCCCAGATCCGTTACTGAAGGACCCTCTGTTGTCCAGTGACATCTGAGGATGAGCAAACAAGGATTTCATTTTAGCTAAGCAGATCATTCTCTCCAACATCTAAGACATAACTTATGTCTTCACTGGGAAGAATTATTGTCAAACACAATTAGTTCTGCAAATCCTAGTTGTTTTTGGAGACACATCCAGACTTAGTTCTGGAGTTACTTAGAGATGAACAAATTACAGGGGTCAGTCTTTGACCTAAGCAAGGGACTGCAATAACTTGCTCCATCAACAGTTCCTTTGCACAGTTTAATAGAGACCAATGCACAGAGCATCCAGCACACAGAGCTGGTAGGACTGTGGGTCACATTCCCATCTTGCTTGGGGAAGGGATAACATAACATGCCTTGAAGCGAAAAAAAATCTCAGCAATTATTCTAAAGGAGAGAGAAGGAGGGAGGAGGAAGTGTGGAGGGTAAGTACTTTAAGTGCTTCATAGCTAAGACACTTCCCCCCTCCGTGCCTGAGTCCTTGTGTGTGCAGGGGTATTTCAGCTCTGGTTCCTTTCATAAGGTACCCCAGAATTTACTACTACTAAAAGCACTAGACAACAACTAGAGGGTTTCTATCACTTGTTCTGGTGGTTAAGATCTGACCTGATGGTCGTTTGTTCACGTTGAATATATTCCCATAGACCTTGACTGGGAAGGTAATGTAGGACCTGGAAACCTCCCCCCTGTGACTGCTGAGCATGCGAACACGAGGTGCTCCAGGCTTCAGCATTTGTAGTTCATTCGGAAAGGAGGTACCATATGCACCAACTGTGCACAAAACCTTCTTGATAGAGAGCAAAAGGGATGCTAATTCCAGCACTGGGCTCAGACACACTACTGGTGAATAACCAGAAAGGTTTAAAAAGAAATGCTGACTAAATTAAGCGAATCAAGCCAGCAGATGTGCTCTTCAGAAGAGCACAGCTGTCTTTTAAATGTCTCTCCCACTGAAATTACATTCTCAAGAGTTTTTTGTCCTTTGCATTTTCCTCAGGATCATCCATGAGGATGGCTTCTCTGGAGAAGATGTGAAGCAGTACAAGCCAGTGGTCTACAGCAACACTATACAGTCACTGGCAGCTATTGTCCGTGCCATGGACACCTTGGGCATTGAGTACGGCGATAAGGAACGACGGGTAAGTTAAAACCACCACTGCCTGCTACAGACACTCCAGACCATGAGCAGAAGGCATTTGCACAGTCTCAGTGCCTTGGAGGGATAAGGAGGGAGGGGAGATTTACATCACTGCTGTATGCCTCCTGCACATGCATTTTGTACAACAGAGATACAATTGCACTTGATGTGCCATTTGTACACTTATGCTGGGAAACGTAGCCTTGGGGACCACTGTGGCACAAAGGCCACAATCTCTCATACCCTGGCTCTAGTCGGGCCAGGGAAGAAAAATAATCTGTTGTCTAGGAAAAGCCTAGACAGATATACTGATAGATTTCAGAAAACAGTGAGAACATGTGTCCTGTGCATGTGCTGGACACACAGGTTGCGTGGACTGATGAATCAGGGAGAAATCTTGCTGCCATTCAGAGACCTTCCACCAGCCTGCTAATGTAGAAAAGCTTTTAGGATTAACTTCATTGGAGCTTGACTGGCTTCTACTCACACATCCCCCATTTAAGTGTACCCAAACAGCAATTTCAGTTGCAAACTGCATTACTTCAGCAATGTTGGTATGGACAGGCTCTTAGGCAGCAGCACTGGCATCTGTCTTATCAGAACAACTATGTGATCCTTGGCAGCCTTCTTGTACCACACACCTAGGCCAGCCTGTCCTTTTACAGTTGCTAGTCTGTGAGTACTTTCACCAGCTCCCTATTTTTAAACAGTGGCTCCTCTGTGAGGTGCCCCTGCCAGCCTCTGCCTTGCATTGCTGGCTCAGACCAAGCCCACACAGAGGAACTCAGAACCTTAGAGTGGAGTCAAAACCACCCTTTTTGCATGCTGCAATCCCAGAGAAGGTAAAACTACTTGATTTCACTGGAAATAAAATAATTTCAAAATAAAGACCTGGTAAAGGCAAAGTCCTATATGCCAGTGAATTTGTCATGACTATTTTTGGGTAGCTATCAAATGACAGATGTACAATGTACTCCAAACTCCTTATCTGAGTGTTGATAATAAAAGCATTCACTAGAAGGGATGCCAAAATTCTGCTATGGTGTTACTGTATGAGAAGGTACCTTATTTCTCCCAATCACAAAGAGGTACTTTGATTTCTTTGCATCTAGGGATTTTCCCGTAGGAACTCTAAATCCTGGAGACATTTCCATCCCAAACGTGGAGATGATACCATAATGGAGTTCTTGTGAGCTTGCCGAGAACTAATGCTGATGGCTTTCAAACTGAATACATTAATCTGTTGATTACTCAGTGACTCAGCTCTCAGCAAGGCAACGTATCTCACTCAGCTAAAACCTATGCCTCGGAAAACAGAAACAAGTCATTCTCCATGTCTGATAAATAGTCTGTGGCAGACAGCTTTAAAATGTAATTTATTTTTTTTTAAACACCTAAAGTCCTAATTTGAGGAGGGAAAACTCATCACTGCTTTAGTGCCAGGCCTGGCACAGTACAGGGGGTGGAGGAGGAGAGCTGTTATCAGGACTGCCAGGAACGAGAGGTGGAGTACTGAGCTGAACAAAATGTTGTGTCCGTTCATATTCCCATGGAAAAGATGCCAAATGTTCCTAGGGTTGTACAAGAACTCAGGCTGGAGAGGAGCTCAGGAGGTGTCAAGCTCAACCCCTGCTCAGGTAAGGTCTAAGGTCAACCCAGGTTGCTCAGGGCTCTACCCAGTTGTGTCTGAAATCATTCAAGGATGGAGACTTCACACCCTCTTTGGGCAGCCTGCTCCACTGCTCTTGCAGTCCTCATGATAAAAAGTTTCTCCTTATGTCTAGCATGAACCACGGTTGTTTCAATTTATGCTTTATGGCAGTAAAGATTTTGTATTATGCTTTGCAAAGTAAAAAGTAAGTTTGATTAAATTCTCCCCAGCCTTGTTTCCTCTAAGATGTAGTTCTGGAGGAATTACTTCTGTCTTACAGTGGTGTCATGCTGACTGTGTGAGACAAGCCTGCCACAAAACACTATAAACCAAATCGCTGCCTGGGAGGGTGGTTCAGTGTATCTGTTCCCTTCATAGATGGCAGAAATATTTCTTCATCCAGCAGCAGACAAAGGAAAAGGAAACCAAGAGGAAAAGGGAAACTAAGGGAAGGAAAACAAGTCTCGCAGGCTGTGATCTTCCACTTGCTCTTTTCTCTTATGCACAGAAAGTTGCTGGTATTAGTATGAAATAGTATTTATTTTAATCTTACAAAGAAGCACATGGCTTCTGCTGCCCTGCTTTTGTTATTAATGCACAGCTGCTAAAAAGAGAGGCCATTAAACAGGCGATTTGTTGAGTATTATGCTACGTGGTTCATCCCTTTTCAGGCAAAGCTTTTCTATTTTAAAAGTCATTCCTCAGCCAAGGGTTTCCAATGCAAATCTTTTAGTGGGGGATTTTCCCCTACTCATCACTTAAGCCCCCAGGAGGAGGGAGCTCAGGAAGGGGAGCCAGGGCTGTGGCTGCTCCAGCCTGATTCAGCAGCAGGGAAGGAGGGGACTTGGGCCCAGGACAGGTTTTCCCCAGGGACCACTTGGCTATTACTACTTCCCCCATCCCACTTTCTGGGAGATCATCTGCACCCATATCCCTTCCAAATGGTACCTTGACCACGTTCAAAGAGGAAAAAACCCTCCCCTACTTAATAAGTGCATGTTATTATTGACAGAAAATAACCAAATCCTCTCATTGTTCTCATTTTTCTCTTGCCCATTATTGTACTTCCAGTATTTAGTCTAATAGAAATGAAAAGACTGGAGGAAGACTAAACCCCCTTGCTTTTGGCGGTCAAAGAGAGATCAGTGTAGGAAATAGGACCTAAAAAGACAAAATAAATCACAAACAGCATATGCTCCAGGTCTTGCTGACCCTCTCTGCTGACTTCTCCCCAGGTCGAAAACAAAACAGCCTATGTGTCAGATTTCACTTTTATGTGTGCTCCTTGTCCAGACCAGCTGGTTTTCTTACAGCTTTGCCCAGCTCACGAAAGGTTCATGGCCTGTGGGCAGCACCCAGGTCCTTGTTTTGTGACCTTCAGCAGGGAAGGCAGGAGCACATCCTGCCAGCTCACAGCACATTATCACTGTGCACAGCGTGGAAGGCTGGGCTGAAACTCCAGAAAAGCTGTGCAAGTGCAGAGGCACAAATCCTTCAGTGTTACAAGAGGGAGGGCAGAAAAGGAGCAGTCAGGGAGGAGAGAGGAGGCAGCTGCTGGAGAAGTGGCATCTGTGGGTGTTGCTCATCTTCAGGGCCACTGCCCAGGTGGATCCCTGACAAGACAAGGGGTTACACACAGGAAGAGAGGCTGAGGCTTAGTGTCGCCTCCCTGCTCAGGACAGCTGGTCTGTAGGGCACTACTCAGTCCTTACCTTGATAATCAGATTAACAGGCAGGAAAGAGTCAGGCTGTAACATGTAGCCTGTGGATTAAATGGTCCTCTAAAGTGCAAATGTATTAATAAAACAAGCTCCTCACTGATTCCATTTCAGTGTACTCAGGCAGAGGAAATGGGAAATGGAGGTTTGAAACCAGGAATCTAGAAGTCAGTCCAAGTGTTTGGAAAGGATCAAGCAGGAAGGGCAGGGTAAGGATGGATTTTCATCTCTGTCTGAAAATCTGGTTCTGAAGTCTGGCTTCAGAAAACCCAGCCAGAAGAAGCATAAGGTCTCTTCCTCTGGGTTAATGCTGACCCCAGAACCCACTTGGAAATGCGGACTTGCAATCCCACTGCAGCCAGGCTGGGGGGCCTGAGGGCATGTCTTCAGGTTGGATTGGTCCCAGGCTGCAATGGGCATCCTGCCCTGTGCAGGCTGGTATGAAAGCAGCTGTAGAGCATGCTCATATTTTCATAAACCAGACAAAAACAGACTGAAATTGTTCAGAAGGTACTAAACAGAGAATGCAAATATCAGTTGCATGGCTCAGATCCAAGTGTTTGAGGTGAGAGGTCACAGGTCACTTGGGGTCCAGAGGTGGCAGGCAGTGATCTTCACATCAAACTTTTTCCCAGTGTGAGTCTGGACATGTCTCTGCTTCAGCTATGAACAGGAAAACTAAAAAGCTGCTGAAGTGTTAGAATATTTTGATTGGGATATTTTTTCTTTCGGACTTTGTAGCAAAATGTGTCTGTGGTGACCTTCTGCTATGTATGGTCTGCAACTCCTGAACTGTGAGCCAAACAAAGATGTGCTGGGACATTTTAAAATACTGGCTAGTAGCCTTGAAAAAAAACCCTTCTGTAGTGTAATTGAACAGCCCACCCGGGGAGGCTGGCAAAGAGATCCATGTCAAATCTGCTTCTGAACAGAGAGGTGCTTGTAGAAACCTGGTGCCTGCAGCAAAAGGGGATTTTAGGAGCTGCCCTCTTCCTCTTGTTCTTGCTTGGCAGGAGCAAAGTCACAGCCGCTGTCACCTGCTGCCTTCCAGGCGCTGGAGGGGAGCAGTGTGGGGGAGGATCTCTCTTTCATAAGATCTGCTCTGCATAACTGGCTTTTTGTACTTGTCAGCTCAAGATATTGTGCTACTTCATTTGAGTCAGGTATCTGTTTAGACCAGCTGGCTCCTACTGTGTGTCCCCTATCCAAGATTTCTCAGAAATACAAAAAGGCTGCTAATAACTTCAGGAGGGCAGGTGAGGTTAATCAGGCACTGCTGTAGGAAGCCTCCCTTAGCTGACTGGGTGATGATCTTGGGGATGGACACAGGATTCCCGGGCTCGTGCTGCTTGACTGAGGATGCAGCCAGTCCTTGCTGGTCTGCTGTTGTAAGTGATAGGTACTTAGGGCTGCTTTATAGAAGAGCAGGATGGAGTGGAAGAAAAGGGAAAATGGAAGAAAGAGGTGGCACTAGACATGCCATTTTTTACCTGGTGTTAGCATTTGTCTGGACATCCAGCTACAGACAATGTCTTCTTGCAATAGTCACAGCTCTCATATAATCACATTCGCTGTACTGTGTCAGACCCAGTACAAATACCCAAGTAAGAGTCCAGGACAAATATTTCAGCC